TATTACATGAAAATGTTTTAGCAGTTTTGGTAGTTAGCTATCCTCTTACTTTTAGCATTTTAAATTTAACTTTATTTTGGAGTGTTTTACGCTTTTTGTATCGGTTTAGGGATGATTTACTTTCTCGGATTGCTGTAGCACAGCATTCATTCCACCACGGTAGAAGACATTGATCGTTAACAAACTTAGATTTACCAATAACTTTCTGGGCAGCGTTAAAGATAAGTTATTTAAACTGCTTTAAAGTTGAGTTAATGTCGACTGTTATTTCCAAAGTAGAAATATTATTATCGACATATTCGGAGAATTTTTGTATTATTTATTCTCACTTAGATATATATATGAAACCTGATGAGAAAAAATTATGGTTTCTAATTAGGACTAGGAAATGTTTACTATGATATGTATAGGCTAGAGCCTCTCAACTCAGGAAATGAGTTAAATTTGGGTCGCAGGGGGTTAAATCGATGCATGAGGAATACCCTGTTGAAATTTTTAATCTTGTACTACCGCCATTAAGATAATTTATATTAAGTTGACCTAAGATAATATCGGCTAACTGTTAGCTAGCATCGGCTAACAGTATGCTTGTAAAGTCTACTATGTTCCAACATAAAAACATTCATAAACAGACTTGGGTCTCTAATGACAACTTCACACGGAACCAAATTGACCACATAATTGTTGATGCTAGACACGGAAGTAATGTCCTTGACGTAAGAAGCCTCAGGGGCGTAGATGGAGATACAGACAATTACCTAGTAAGAGCAAAAACCAGGTTGAGGATATCATCACAGAAACTTAAAACGAATGAAGCATTGGGACAGTGGAACATTGAGAAAACGCAAAATAAGGAACTCCGAGACAATTACGTACAGGAAATGGAACAACATCTAAATAGAATAGACCAGAGCAATAATGTCGAAAGTCATTAGAACTAATCAGAGTCAGCAGAACTAATAATAGGAAAAAGAAGGACGAAAATAAGGAAATGGTTTGATAAAGAATGCCAAGAAAAACTGCAAGACAGACAGAAAAAGCAAAACATTATGCTTCAACAAAAAACAACAGAAAGTAAAGAAAACTATACAACATCACGACGAGAACCAAGAAAACTAATTAGAGAGAAAAAAAGAAAATACGAACAACAGCAGTATGAAGAAATGGAAAGAAATAGACAACAGTCAAATAGTCGAGCATTTTACAAATCTGTGTCAAACGAAAAGAGAGGATTCAGACCTAACTGCGTGTCTGTACTGAGGAAAAATAATGATGAATTAATAATCAACGAACAAGAATTACTCCAAACATGGCAAGAAATTTTCAAAAATTTACTTAATATACACCAAGATGAAAAACATAGAGAGGTTATATATCTTGGGGTGGACCTACCGGTAGAGTACCCAAAAATAGACGAAACATTGCAAGCAATTAACAAATTGAAGAACGCAAAAGCTCCAGGCTCTGATAATATACCAGCCGAATTTCTTAAGTACGGAAGAGAAACTTTACATAGACAATTACACAAACTAGTAACACTTATATGGAACGAAGAGAAAATACCAACAAAATGGCACGAAAGTGTAATAATTCCTATCCATAAAAAGGGAGACAAAACCAAGTGCTCTAACTATAGAGGCATCTCCCTACTTAATACGGTGTACAAAATCTTATCGAACATCCTATTAAGTAGACTAACACCTTTTGTAGAAATTTTCATAGGGGAATACCAAGCCGAATTCAGAAAAAATAGATCGACCATAGATCAGATTTTTACTCTCAGGCAGCTGCTTGAAAAAGGATGGGAATTCAATAGAACCATTCATAATCTCTTCATAGATTTCCGACAAGCATACGACAGCATTAAAAGGGATCAGATGTGGAATGCAATGGCAGAACTTTCAGTTCCAAAAAAACTTATCCAGCTTGTTAAAGTTTGTGTAAATGGCTGTAGATCTAGAGTGCATATAGGTAACAAGCTCTCAGAGTCGTTTAAAACAAACATTGGACTGAAACAATGAGACGCGCTGTCACCTCTTCTTTTTAATATAATCCTGGAAAAAGTAGTAAGAACCGCACAAATTAGAACAGAACTACTGACAATAAATGGACCAAAATTACTACTAGCATACGCGGATGACATTGACAATATAGGAAATACCGTCACCAATGTAAAAGAAACCTTCAATAAATTAGAGAGAGAGGCAAAAAATGGTCCAAGGGTCAATGAAGAGAAAACCAAATATATGTGCATTAACAGACAAAAGAGACGAGATAGAATTGGACAAAATGTAACAATAGACCCCTATAACTTTGAAAGAGTGGAGAGTTTTAAATATCTCGGAGCGACTATCACCACAGATAACGATATCACGGAAGAGATAAAAGGAAGAATTCAGGCAGCAAACAGATGTATGTATAGCCTCCACAACACTATTAAATCCAAGAGCCTAACACGAACATCAAAAATCAGGATATATAAAACAGTAATTAGACCGGTGCTCATGTATGGGTGTGAGACGTGGACGCTGACAAAAGCAATGGAAAGTAAACTCAGATGCTTTGAGAGAAAAATCCTCAGAAAGATCTTCGGTCCCTATCACGATCCGAATACTAACCAATACCAAATGAGAACAAATGCCGAGGTCAAACAAATATATAGTGCTAGCGACGTAGTCCAAGAAATTAAATCCCAACGTCTAAGATGGGCTGGCCATGTTCATAGGCTCCCTAATAACCGCCTTACCAAGTTAATCTGGGAAGAAGTCCCGACAGGGAGAAGGCCCTTAGGACGTCCACGAATGCGATGGAGAGATAATATATGGTCAGATTTGAGAACAATGGGGCTACCCACTGACTTAAACATCATGGACGACCGTTCGAGATGGAAGCAGGTTGTGCAGTCAGCCAAGACCCACCCCGGGTTGTAGTGCTACCAAAAGAAGAAGAAGATAATATCGGCAATACTTGTGCCTCTGGCAGATGTGTGATCTGACCCCTTATTATGTTGTGAGCATTAAAGTCACGTAGAATTATACGAGGACGTCGCAGTTACTTTAATAACCTGTACAGACTATCATAATTTCCTTGTATGTTACAAGAAAGGTAAACATTGCAAATATATACTAAACTGGTAGTTGTGATTCTGGCAGCAACAGCCTCCAAATCACTTACTATTGGAATTTACACCGCCTCGATGAATTTATTTACTAGTATCGCTACACTACCACTTGCACGACCTGCTTCTGTACGGTCTTTACGAAAATAAGTGAATTGTTAGAATTGTACAATTGATTGGTCTTTAAGTTTGTTTCCTGTAAACAAATAGTATCTGGAGAATATTCAGATAAAAAATCTGTAGCATAGGGAGACGATGAAAAATTCTATCAATATTCCACTGAAGAATCAAGTTCAATGTTCGGAGTTGAAGCATATTGAACGATTGGTTACAGATGAGTCACTGTCTAAGTCAGATATATCTTTCCCTAAATAGTTAGTTTAAAAAGTAGTTTCTTTTGAAGATTTGTAAACTTGGTTTTTGTTGATCTATCATTTGCATATTGATAGCTGTATTTTAAAAGATGGAGTAAACCAACCATATCACTTGTAAATTATTTGATGACGTTAATAGTATCGGGTGGGCCTGGAATATTATCAGTCATTAAGAACAATTGGTGGTAACTTAAAACGAAAGGTGGTGTATGGTTATCAATAAAATTTTCAAGTTTTCCATGTAGATCGATCATTGGATGAGCGCAGTTTTTTTAATTTAGAAGATTGGGGTTTTCACTTAGATGCTGTAATCTTATTACATTTGGAAGTACTGGAGCAAACTCATAAGTAGTGACAGAAGTCGAGCTTAAAGTTTTATTTGTAAGATTGGCTGAAATAGTTGTTTCAGAAAAATGTGGTAATGTAATAGCTTTATAAGAATTTTCTGCAACTTTATCTAATGGAAGAGGTATTGATAGGTTTAGAGGATATTACTGCCGAAGTTTGTGAAAACGGCGTTGTCGGCGAATGAAGTTGATTGAAAGTGTTGCTATAACTAGGAGTGTCGCTAATTTCTTGGTTATGTAGATTTATAGGTGAGCTTACAGTTAGAGCATTACTATGATTCGTAAGGCACTGTATAGCAATATGTCCTGAAGTTTTGCATTTATAGCAAGTTGATCTATATCAGCTATCCTGAGAAATGAAGATTATTTAGGAGGTGTTTTCGTAATTTACTGTAAACGAATCAGGTATGACAAAATTGTATGGACTAACATAGACTTGTCTACGGAGACTTAGTATGTGGCTAAATTCCGGTAGGTTTAAACTAATCCTTAGATAATACATTGGTGAAATTATATTTAAGCCAATATTTTTGAATTCAGCACAAAGTACTTCGTGACGAATAGTTGAAGATTCATTTGAAAGTATGTCTCTCAGCTGGTGTTATTAGTTATAAGTGGACGTGCCTTTATAATTTGATCTTTTGATATATAGCCTGATGTTTTTTTGGAAATTTCTACTGGGCTAAAGCTGTCGAATATGACTAACGGTGGTAGATTGACTTTGACTGTCCAGTGGCTGATAACAACGGCATGGACACCCCAATACACCTCCATACGAAATTTTAAGGTTATTTAAATGGTAAAACGAGACCAATTTGATTTGCAGCTTAATATTTATATACAGACGATTTACAGTTAATCATCTAATTAATGCACTATAACTTAACTAAACACAATTCATAAATCCCACCATTAATTACAAATTTTGTAGGACCGAAGAAGAGCACTGTTTACTTATGTACCGCCAAGGATGACCTTCTTAATTAAACAGTGTATATGCCGTTTATAAATTGGCATATAGAATCAGCAGTTTTCTTATAAAAATACAAAAATACATTATAAATTACATTTTAGGAACTTATTATTCTGTTTAGGAACTCTATTAGGATTAGGAATTCTATTTAATAACTTTCTTATTTAGGAACTCTATTATTATTTTAGATATGGTGTCAAACGGCATCCATTGAAGATCTCACAACCGCAATCGAATATGATGAACACTGTCCAAATGCTATAAGAGTATTGGGGAGTCTTCAGAATTCACCAGATTTTGCAAATGCTTTTCACTGTCCTGCTGGAAGTCCAATGAATCCAAAGAACAAATGTAAAATATGGTGAAAAATCATAATTAGTGTTTTTTATATTTTAAATGGGTGATAATCTAATAGTTTAATATTTATTAAAGTGAATATTGTTAGCAATAAATATATTATTAAGTTTAATATTCTGTAATACAAAGTTAATAAATCGTTTTTTCTAGTTTCCAAGTATTTTATGTTGTTGTTAAATGATTCTTACTATCAAGGAGAAAATAGACATCTGATATTACTATCTATCTATCTAATTAGCCTTCTTCGGTCAATCTTTGGACATAGGCCTCCCCAATCCTTTTCCATTCTTCTCTGTCTGTCGCTACAGTCATCCACCTAGACCCCACGTGCTTCTTGATATCATCTGCCCATCTCATTTGGGGCCTTCCTCTGCTTCGTTTATATTCCCTTTTTCTTTTTGTCTTATATTGTGTCCGGCAAATCTCCATTTCAATTTTGCAACTTCTTGTCTAACATCCCTCACTTTTGTTTTCTCTCTTATAAACTCGTTTTTCTTTTTATCCTGTCTGATGTACAACATTTGTCTTTCCGTTGCTCTTTGGGTTTTTATGATTTTGTCCATGTTTGCTTTTGTAAATGTCCACGTTTGGGAACCATAAGTAAGAGCAGGGAGTACGCATTGATTGTATACTTTGGTCTTAAGATGTTGTGTATATCTTTTGTTTTTAAGAATGTAGCTTAGTTTGCCAAATGCCGCCCATGCCAGTATAACTCGTCTCTTTATCTCTGCTGTTTGTTTATCTTTGTTAAGTTTTATAGTTTGACCAAGATATATATATATATATATATATATATATATATATATATATATATATATATATATATATATAATCCTTAACTTGTTCTATTTCATCTTTTTTCGATTCTCATTGTGATGTCTTCATCTGTATTTATTATGGTTTTGGTCTTGCTGTATATTCATATTAAGGCCTATCTTTCCAGCTTCTACGTCCAGTTCTTTCATTTCAAATAATTCTTCTTTTTTATCGGTTATCAATACGATGTCATCAGCGTACCTTAGATGGCTCAAGCGTTGTCCACAAATTTTTATACCCTTTTCTTCCCATTTTAATCTTTTAAAAGTATCTTCAGTAGCCTGATTGAAAAGTCTCGGTGATATTGTATCACCCTGTCTCTCGCCTCTATTTATTTGTATTGATTTTGTTCCTTCATATACTTTAATTGTTGTTTTGGCTTCCTTATATACAGTGCGTTAAGTTTTGGATTAGGTACCTATACACTCTATAAATGGCAACACTGCGCGTCGTCGAGATATCTGCTTCGTTGACTCGTCGTTGCTCGTCGCCCGTCGGCAAATTTATACCGTGGTTGTTTAAATAAAGGTATAACAGCGTAGAGTTTTAATTTATTTTTGTAAACATGTCTGTTTATATGGCCGCGGAAAAAGCTCAAATAATAAAATGGTTTTATAGTGGCAATTCTGCGCAACAGTGTGTAGATTTATTTTCTGTGTTTTTTGAGGAAAGACCAATTCCTTGTGTACAGTTAATTTATAATATTGTTAAAAATTTTGAGAGTTGTTATTGCCTCAAAAATTGCAGAAAATGTCACGCTCAAGAAGTGTTACCAGAAAAAGTTGAGGAAAGAGAATACCGGGATACACAAATTTGTGCAACAATCGAGATAGATTCAACACGTTCAAGTAGAAGCGTTGCTAGAGAGTTAGATGTTAGCAATGTTACTGTAACGAAAGTATGGAAAAAGCACGGTTACAAGAATTTTAAATATTCGAAAACGCAGCAGCTTTATCCAGACGATTACTTTTGAAGAATGGAGTTTTGTGAAACTCTAATAACGAAGGCTAATAGTGAACCAAATTTTATTAAAAACATTTTATTCACTGATGAATCTTCTGTTTCGTTAGTAGGGAGACACAATCCTTCCATTACGAGGTATTGGGCGCGGGAAAACCAGTACAGAAGTGTTGTTTACCGAACTCAACGTCCTCAAAAAGTTAACGTCTGGACTGGCATTTTAGGAGACCACATAATAGGTCCATTTTTTATTGAGGGCAACTTGAATATACTCGAGTTGTTACAGAATCATGTTCTTCCCGCTATTCTCAATCTTCCTGATGTAAATCTGGAGAATATTTGGTTTCATCAAGACGGCTGTTCAGTTCACAACGCTCGAATTATTAGGGAGTATTTAAACAAGACTTTCCCGAATCGAGTTATCAGTGGAACAGGCGATATTAAGTGGCCTGCGCGATCTCCAGATCTTACACCCATGGACTTCTTTTGAAAATTTGGATGAATTAAAAAATCGAATAAGAGAAGTCTCCAATTCTGTTACAGCAGATACTCTTTCATCTGTTCGCAGAAGTTTTTATGACAGATTTATGACAGGAATAATATTTTAATTTTCAATAAGAGTATATTTTTTATTTTATCTTTTTAAAGAAATACGCTTTCATTTTTAATTCAACCACAAAAAAATTTTCACATTAATAAAAATCGATAACAATGCACCGATTAGGTGCATATTTTTATCGAATTTCCTACTATTAAAATCGGCTTTACGTAATGAAACATGAGATCGGACGACAGAGAAGTACATCCCTAACGTTGTTGTGAGTTACTAAACTAAAATAAAATAAATGATTTTCTGTCGGTGTAGATTTTCGGGTCGGAGAACGAACATTTGCAACGTTGCCGATTTTAGCGCTCCGTATAGTGTGCAATACCTAATCAAAAATTTACATATACGTAGTTTTACTAGTTTTCGTTCATGTATCGAATAATATTTGCTTTAATTAATAAAATAAATAAAGTCCCAAATATCTTTTATGTATTTTTGGACTGAAAAACCTGACAATAGCCACCTTTATATAACAGCCATTGGTTGTTTTATACTATACCTACAACATATATCAGCAAATAATAACCACTGTTACATTGATAAAGATGAAGACCATAAAGGGAGCAATTATGAAGGAGACAATTCTCAGATCAGCATACCTCCCATATTATAATGATTCCGAATAACCACCACCAATGGAGTTGCCACAGCTAGTGAGATATTGCAGGTAAAATAAACTGTAATTGATCATCGGCTGTGATACGATGTTATGATGTTATGCGCACCTTCTGACCTAAAGCAGTACAAATACTAGTGAAAGAGGTGGGTGATCAGTATTACAGTTTGTTACGGAACATGATTTGGACATATTAAACGTAGAAAACAAAACTATCTTTCGTAACTTCACAAAGAAAGTATGCACAATTTTAATTGATATAACAGTCGCCACCACTCACGGGGTTAGAACTATTTAAAAGTGGCATGTGTAAGATAAGTTGTCTTGTTCAGACCATCGACACATCTATTTTGAAGTAACAGGTAATACACCTATAAAGGAAACTTATCGCAATCCTCACAAAATAAACTGAAAATCATATTAAACGGACCTGGAATATTGTTTAGACAGGTTCAAGGGAGGAAAAGACAAACACTGGACCTAGACATGACCGCCGAACAATTTTAACAGTTTGTTATGTCAGAGTTTGAAGACAAGTTTCTGAAAATACTGGGTAATTCTAACAGGAAAGTTCACTAATGGAATAACATACTTTAAAAATCAAAGGACAGAAGTCAGTCCTTTCATCAAAAGATCAGGGGAGTGGGGCGATTATAACAAAGCTCTGGCTGAATATAACAAGGATTTGCGAAGCGCAAAAAGAATTATGGAGAAGGCATTGCGACGAGTTAGTATAGATGGCAGAAATATCTATGCTTCATAAAATTCTTCCAAAGTACCCTCAGATAAAAGGATAAGTATTCCTTCATTCCAAAATGTATCAGGTGAATGCACTTAGAATGGTGAGGAAGACCTGAAAGAACTTTTCAAGTTGTTTTCCTGAGTTTAACACAAAACTGATATCAACATACACGTGTAAGCAGACTGAAATGAATATCACGACTATCATCACGACTTATGATTCTATGAAAAACTAGCGTATGGCAAAAGATGTGCCAAACCAAAACAAAATCAAATGGGCAATAAACTGGTTTATGCCATATAAATCACCGGGTCTGGATGGGATTTATCCAATTCTTCGACAGAGGAGAAATGATCTGTAAAAAAATATGTATAACACTACAATCTAACTTAGAACTAAGGTACGGACCAAAAGTTTGGACGCATATAAGGGTGACCATTACACTCAAACCTATCAAAACTGGGTAGGAAAAGCTAAGTCGCTGAGGCCGATAAGTCTGTCATGTTCTAGAAAAACTGCTTGATAAAGATTTTCTATATAAACGACTCTGGAGGGTATACCTCCTAGAAAACCAAGATATAATGCTGGGTGCATTTCTCGATATAGAAGCAGCATTTGTCAATATTTACTAAGCATTCACAAGGGCGATTCGTCTAAAATAAATTGCATGTGGTACACACAAGGTAAGGGGTGTACAGTGTCCTACAGTACAAGTATGCAGGGCTGTCCCTACGGGATAGTCTTTTCTCTTCTCTTGTGGAATCTTATTACGGATAGGCTGATAGTTAAACTCAGCAACGACAGACATTATGTTCTGGGCTATGCGGATGACCTGGTCATCTTAGCACACACCAAATTTAATAGCATAGTCAGAGATATAATGCAACAGAGATAATGTGGTTACAGAATGGACTTCGAATGTAGCGCTTAACAAAACCCTCGATCAGTTTTAATAAACCTTTATGCATTTTGTTTGTTTTGGTTTTCTCCATAATATTTTACTACAATTTGATCAAAAAATAATAATAAAATTTTTGTAATTGAAAAAACCGGAAAAAATGGCCAATTTTAAACAATTATTACAAATTTCGTTCTTTTTAAGAATTTCCAATTTTTCTGGTAAACTATCTCGTAAGAGTACTTCTTTTTAAAACCCTTCTCGAATTTTATATTTCAGATTTGCGTTCCAGAGGTTAACTGTCCGCCATGGAGCTGTCACTGCGAAACAAAAAAAAAAAGAAAAAAATCTGCGGCATTCATTTTGTTAATGGTTCTTAATAAACACTTGTTTCAGATATACAAAGTATGAATTTACTCTTTTAGATTGACTCTGGTTTTTGAGATATTCGAATTATAAGAAATACATGAAAAAATTTAAATTACCCTCGTATAGTTTGTATTCATTG